TCGTTCACAGTTAACCGGTCCATGCATCCTTGGTACGGAGTCATTGCCTTGACCGTCGAGTCATGTAAGCGACTTCGTCCGCCCAACGTGCTAGTACCACTTTCATTCATTTGACACCGACTAGTCGGCAGTTGAAGTCCCGGTTACCCTCAGTCTGGTTTGGCCACCTGTCGAACGGTTTACCGGGGTGTGGCCACTGTTGCATCCAAGTGGCTTCTTGGAGCCACAGGTGAGAGCTGAGCGCCTAATTGAGATCAAAGAATCGATAACAAACGTGGCATTTCTAGCTGCGCTATATTTGACCTTAAGCACACGATATCTTGAAATTTTACCAACTTCGTTCCGGGGGGCAGTTTAACCTTCCACGGAGAATTCTCGCAGTTTTTACATTAAAAAAATGGATTAGGATCAGCCACCACCGCGAGAGTATTTGGGCGTTTTCTTGCGAGGGTCCTGGATACAAAACGAGCAGAAAACGGCAACTTGGTGTTTGTGCAATCTCGCTACCCTCGAACGTATCCGAACCATATTGCCTGAGCGAATTAACCATGTCAATCAATCAAGCCGGTGGATGAGATTCAGAATTATTTCGTATCAAACAGTATCGCAATAGATTCGAGTGACATTACCTAATTGTGCTCCATTTTGTCGACACACACCTCATTATCCGATAGAAAGAATTTCATCACAAGCTCCAGGATGTTTTTTGTCCTAATTATGAGAGAAGTAGTTGTCCGTACGGACACCATCTTTCTTCCACCATTGCTTTTTTCATCGTTAATAGAATCTTCTGGAAAGTGAACGGACTTAAGATTTCGTTTATTTTAATCTTATTTTTTAAACTTTACTTTATTCTGTTTGGTTTGGTAAGTAAAGTGCACCTAATGACCTAGTAGAATGCACTACCAATGGAACACCGTCACTGGAATCACCAACACAGTCGAACTACCAGAGATAGTGCTGATAATCCATTAATTGCCTGTCCGCCATCAGTTTTTGATAATCACTCCAGCGTTGGCCAGCTAGATCAAATCCATTTTGTTCTCTCGTTTTTGTTGTTCAGATAGACAAGAGGTAAAATCTAGCCCAAAACGAATAATCCACACAGATCCATCTATACGTGTGGTTTGGGGTCAAGACCATAGGCACTGACTGTCGTCCCCGCGGGGATTTCGTGTTCCTTCGCGCATGTGTTTCTGTTTGTCGCTCTTTACGTGTTGTTCTCTCTCTTTCTGTGTGTTCCGTGTTTCCCCTGGCAAGAAATCTCCATTCCGCCTTTGCTGTCTGTCTGTTCCCTTCCTCCTCCTCATGTTTGTCGTTGCATGCAATTTAGCGCCAATGTCGAAATGGGTATCGATGCGATCAGTTGCCTCGGCGAGCCAGTTTCACTGCCGGTACCGTCCAGGTAGATTTGATCTAGTGGTGCGAACTGCGCGCTTGGAAGCCACATCACATGCATCTGATTTTGTTACTTAACCGTTTAGCCTCTATTTGTCACATTCTCGGTGCTTTGTGTTCTAGCTTTTTTTGTTTTGCTAACACTTTTTGTGCTTTTTGAGTCCACTATGTGTGTGTGTGTGTGCGTGTTTGTGTTCAACTGATTTCCCCGCTCGTTTTTATTACCAACATCGATGGAATTGGGTAGGGTAGTTCATTCTGTTTCTTCTCACTCTCCACACACACACATTATATATATATATATATATATATACCGACATGAACACAGGAAATA